TGTTCTTGCTTGGACCCGGCATGCATCCATGATGTTGTGTGGATGCGCCGATGCCGGAACAGCGTGTTGGTAATTACAAGCCCATGGGCTGCACAAAAATCTAGCAGCCTCCTACCGTTGTTATTGAGCTGATCTGGCCCATGCCCTCCAATCACTCCAGACCAGGTGCCAGTATCATGACCAACTCGGGCATTGAAGTCACCCAGCATGATGACTCTATCCCGAGGGGCCACTTTAGCCAGCACCTGTGACAGGAGGTCATAGAAGGCATCTGACTCATCGGCTTTGCCTGCATCCCTCCACGGATGTTCATCTTCGGTGGGGGCATAAGTAACCACGACCACCATTCCTCGCCTCCGGTTGATGGGAAGGCGAGCCCAAAGTAGCCTGGGGCTTACAGCTTCCCACACCTCACCGCCACGCTCCCACGCCCCCTTCATTCTTTTGTTCAAAAGAAGACCCACACCCTGTTGTTTGGCAGTCTGCTGCCCCGAGTAGAGGACTGTCCACCCCTCATGGTGGCAGGAGCCAGAGCCGGTCCACCGGACCTCCTGAATGCCGCATAGATCCAGGCGGTACCGGTCCAGCTCCCGACAGAGGAGTGGCAGCCTCTCCTCTGCAGTGAGCGTTCGAACATTCCACGTGGCCACCCGTAGTGGCTTTTCGTTGTTTCTGGAGTAGCCCCGAGGGTAGGTATTCAATCTCCTGGCTCCGCCAATTGGGGTTTGGCCAGGAGACGTCATAGACGCCTGGCCCCCCGGGGCCTCCGGCACAAGCTTAGTTGTTACATATTTCACTTTAATTCGTGGTTTTGTGGTAATTAATTGAAGGTGGAGGGGTTACCAGCCCCTCGCACCCGTCCAGAGCCCCCGTTTAGCCCCTGTGGTGGACACATATGCCATGAGGGGAGGAGCCAATCAAAATTGGAACTCCCCCCACAGCACTGTCCACGACAGAGTTGCCCGTCCGGCACCGCGAGGAGGTAGGGGGTTGTTTTGCCGGACACACACACAGACACACACATACACACACAGACACACACACAGACACACACACAGACACACACAGACACACACACACAGACACACACACAGACAACGCTAACCGCTACACTACAATGCGTGACGCTTCCACGTGCGCGGGTCACGTGACAGATTTGACGTCACAGCTCACTTGCCGTGCAAAAAATCTATACATTATTGAGCTCCCCCCCCCCCCCCCAACAAAAACACAAAAGTGTATTTGTATAATGTTTGTACGGTATACAGTCTGGAAAGTACCCACATGGCAAATTTCCAGTTTGTTGCATGTCAGGAAGTACGCTAAACATTTTGAACAGACAACACACACAATCACAACTTTGCCTTTCATATATATTTGGAGATGCAGTGAAAAACGTTCCCAAAATTCATCGCGCGGTTTCAGTTTTTTGATTTTCAGTTTGATTTATTTTGGTTATAGTCCCGTGAGCCATTCGGCTCTTGAATCGGGTGCAACCACAACAAGCAACAAAACAAAAACACGACCAAGAAAAACATCTTACAGTGACTATGTGTGACTGTGCAAACAGCACTGTCATGGCACGCAATGAGAGGGCAAATGTCATAAATATTCCTGTAAGCCCTCGCATCTTCAACATTAATCTTAGCCATAGGAAACGTTGTGGGGTTTTTTGCTTCAATTGTAAAAAAAGATAAATTTATCTGTTATTTTTATTTAATTTTCTATCTACGTGACTTTACCGAAAGAACCAAGAATATTAATTCCTGCAGTCACCAAAGTTTTAAGTCACTCACACACGTTGACAAAGCCTCACCTTGTGTTGTTGTGGGCAGGTCGCTTCTGATAACAAGAGCGGTATAGCAGCTCAAGCGGGCTTGGCCTGGTAACAAAAGAAAATAAAAACTGCGTGAATATTTACAATAAAACAAAGTTACAAAGTGGCGAGCCGGGTGAAGACAAATTAAACTTAAGCGAGATAATTAAAGTGAACGCAATCAGGCGAGGGCAGGAGGCAAGGCCCCGCGTGGCTAGGCCCCGCGTTGTAAAGTTCCAACCTGGACATCGATCCCATGCTCGCTGCTACTCAACTGACATCCCTACGAGAGAGAGGCTCTACCTTGGTAAACAACAACAACAACCACCACCACAACAACCACCACCACCACAACGATGAGAATTTCTCACCTCGGATTTCAGTGCAAGCGCGCACACGGCAGCTTCCTGTTGCCTCGCGACAGTAGGAAGTAGTATGACGTCACTTCCCTCCCACGAGCGGCTGTGACTGATTCAATTATGTTAATGAGGCCGGCCCATATGTCGAGGGATGGGGGCGTGGGCGCTGAACCCGTCGCAATAAACTCGCGACAGCTTTAACGGACACATTATGTTAATGAGCCACCAGTCACTGGGCGTAGCTTTGCCCAAATAAAGATTGCCACTGGAACGATATCGGAAGTGACCCAAGCGGAGGTGACGTCACGCTCAAGAGCGCGGTGGACGGGGGTCGGGGTGAATACCTTGGTGACATAACGTCACTAGCGAGGTACACCTCCCCCTGGCGTTTCACGCCGATGAAGTAATGCAGAGTGGTGACGTCACAGAGTTGGAGTTGATTTAGATTCATTTTTCATTGCTCCCTCCCTTGGGTGTGTGAGCTCAGCAACAACGTGAACATTATTGTGTATACACTGTGTGTGTGTACACTGTGTGTGTACACTGTGTGTGTGTATACACTGTGTGTATACACCGTGTGTCGCTGTGTGTCGCTGTGTCACTGTGTGTGTAACTGTGTGTGTGCACTGTGTGTATATATACAGTGTGTGTACCCTGTGTACACTTTGTGTATATACAGTGTACCCTGTGTGTACACTGTGTATATACTGTATGTACACTGTGTGTACAGTGTGTGTGTACACTGTGTGTGTACAGTGTGTACACTGCGTGTGTACACTGTGTATACTGTGTGTACACTGTGTGTGTGTACACTGTGTGTACACTGTGTATACTGTGTGTGTATACACTGTGTGTGTATACTCTGTGTGTGTACACTGTTTGTGTCCGCATTGAACCAAACCCCCGGCAAGGCCATCTACTTAGTGACGAGAGAAAATTCACATGAAATGTCCTTTTCAATGAAGTCTTCCAGATGTAAATTGATACAAGCTTTTAATGAAGAAATAAAATCATCTAATTCAAAACACAACACAATTCAAAGATGTTTCATTTTAAAACTTCAAAACGGAGCATGGGGTACTTGCGTGAATGCGTCCTTCGTGTGCAAATGTTGTGACTTTCCTGGCCTGAAGGCCGTCAATGTGATGGACTATTATTGGTGCACAGCGTCTCAACAACAGCAGTGGGGTTTGCTTCAACCGATAGGTACGAACATCCAGACGTGAATGAGCAAGGTGAATTTCTAGTCCCAGTTAGACAAAATCTACGTCAACACGTAAGACAAAACTACAATTCGTGTTGTAGAGAATGTACCTCCTCATATACGTGTAACTTTTAAGTGGTATGCCTTGTAACTGATGAATGATCCGAGCGTGCTCCCTATTTCAAAGACAATGAGTTTCTCCAGAGGCCGACGCTTCGTGAAACACAAAAGTACCCTTTGACCTGCATCACAAGAACAACGGGTCTCACCTGAGTTCTCTGTACAGGTTACTTCCAAACACACACACACACTTTGTCCTAACATCACTTAATCTAGATTTGACCCTCAGACAAAATGTTACATGCACACGCACAATCAGACAAGTATTCATTCTAAATTATTGACAGGCATTTTAACAAAATTGAATTACTGCAGTGAAATAGACTGCATCAGGTTACATCGTATTAACAAAAAGCTATTTTTAAAAAGATATGCGCCGTCTGCTTAACAGTGTATGTACAACGTACTATTGCCATTTGCATGCTGGCATCTCGGTCAAAATTGATAACATTCTAAACATTACCTACAAAGTCACGTAGAAGGGAAATAATAAGATAATAAAATAATCAAATAAAAATTCTCACGACGTTTCGGCTTCTTGCGAACGTCGTGAGAATTTTATTTATGTTTAATTTTTATTATCTTATTATTTCCCTTCTACGTGACTTTACCGAAAGAACCAAGACGAAGAATCCCTGCATTCACGAAAGCTTTAAATAGAAAAATTACCTACAAACTCCACAACCAAGATGCCAAATCAACCAACACCCGCTACTGACAGGATCTTGTTCACATGCAGGCCGGTGCAGGGCCACCACCTTGTACCACACAGGGGCAGCTGCTACTTGGGGATGCTCTTCGAGTGTCTGAAACGGGATACAAAACTCCGAGTTGCTGAGGTAATCTTGATTTGAAGTTTGTGACTGCAGGGATCCATACTCCTTGGTTCTTTCGGTAAAGTCACGTAGGGGCGATTAAGCAGGCACCATATAAATGCAATTGATAAAATAGTGAATGCTGGGGAGCTTATTGGCTCTCGCTCCTGGTTAGAGATCAACCCAACCCACAGGTCCACAAAGACTGGCCGCTCTTACTCTGCAGGTTGAACCTAGGACCTGAGTGTTCAACTTCGCATTCTTTTCATTAAAGGCCTGTGACAAAGGTGCATCTATTGTAGCGACATCGTCTCTGGCTTACACATCTACCAGGTCTCCACTTGACTTTGTATTGTCTCGGAGAGTCCACCCACACCTCCACTTCCACAAACTGCTGGGAGTTGCCTCACTCTGCCTCAGTCAGAATTCTCCTCCTGCTTCACGATGTAAAGGTCCCATTTTGCAGTTGAATCTTCATCTTCACATTTTACCTTCACTTCTTCGCTCATCACTTCTTCCCTCTTCATCATCACCTCTTCATATTTCACCTTGATAACTTTAAAAGTGTCCAAGCTGGGATTTTCTTCCGGTTCTTGTTTCATGAGGGATGGGCTCATTGCGGCACTTTGACTTTCACAAGCTGATTTCAGACGCCACTCCTTGTGGATCTTCTGATGCTTGTGTGTTCTCTGGTGTACTTGAAGATTTGATGAATTTGCAAATGCCTTCCCAGACACACTGCACTTGAAGGGTTTCTCTCCCGTGTGTGTTCTCTGGTGTGTTTTAAGAGCAGATGAAACTGAAAAAGTCTTCCCACACACACTGCACTTGAAGGGTTTCTCGCCCGTGTGTGTTCTCTGGTGTCTTTGAAGATGAGATGAATCTGAAAATGCCTTCCCACACACACTGCACTTGAAGGGTTTCTCTCCCGTGTGTGTTCTCTGGTGTCTGTGAAGAGTAGATGAATCTGAAAATGCCTTCCCACACACACTACACTTGAAGGGTTTTTCTCCCGTGTGTGTTCTCTGGTGTGTTTTAAGAGCAGATGACTGTGAAAATGCCTTCCCACACACAGTGCACCTGAAGGGTTTCTCTCCCGTGTGTGTTCTCTGGTGGGTCTCAAGAACTGATGGCCATGCAAATGCTTTGTCACACACAGTGCACTTGAAGGGTTTCTCTCCTGTGTGAGTTCTCTGGTGCTGTGTCAAATTTCCAGTCCGATCCGTGCTGTATGCACGCCGGTCGCATTGTTGACTTGTCGTACCGAGCTGCTGAGCTGAGGGCCTTTGCTCCATCAGACCAGCCTCAGCTGCAGACAGAAAATAAGAATATCCACACCATCTACACGTCAGTATCGAGCCATGGAGGAATTAATATATACAGTCACACGTGACTTACACGTCTATATTCATTCATATATTCATGACTAGCTGTACTACCCGGCTTCGCCTGGGACTTGGATCCCACGTCCGGTCGCATTTGTCTCCCCAGTGGCGATGTTCACACCACAACAGTTACTCGTTTAAGGCTGAGTCGACCTAGGGGAGGCCCAGAAGCGGTTCAAATAATCATCACCGGTGGTGGCCGTGAACGGGAATCAAACTCGGGTCGCCGGGTTCGTAGCGTAGTGTAGCGCTAACCGCTACACTACAATGAGTTACGCTTCCACACACAGACACACACAGACACACACAGATACACACACACAGACACACACAGACACACACACACACAGACACACACACACTGACACACACACACACAGACACAAACAGACACACACACACAGACACACACACACAGACACACACAGACAACGCTAACCACTGCACTACAATGCGTGACGCTTCCACATGCGAGGGTCACGTGACAGATTTGACGTCATAGCTCACTTGCCGTCCAAAAAATCTATACATTATTGAGCTCCCCCCCCCAAAAACAACACAAAAGTGTATTTGTATAATGTTTACACGGTGTCCAGTCTGGAAAGTACCCACATGGCAAATTTCCAGTTTGTTGCATGTCGGGAAGTACACTAAACATTTTGAACAGACAACACACACAATCACAACCTTGCATAATTTTATATATATGGAGGTATGCAGTAAGAGCCAATTTGTTAATCCATTGCCGGACGAGGGTCTCCCCACGCCGCCCCGGGTCGTGATTTGACCATACTTCACCACGCTCGTCCGTGTGGCGGCTTGGTGGAGGAGGGTAGCGCAGACGTGGGAGCGTAGTGACATTGTACTCTACAATGGATGTTGCCCCCACCGCTCCTATGCCGCTCACCAACGTTGCACAGTCCCGCAGCCGCCTAAAACAACAACAACAACAAAGTCCCATCACAAGGGAGAAACACACAAATAGAGATTCACTTCGAGTACACTCACCACCACGTAGCTGTCAACCCACTATCAATCAGTGCCCCTACCTTATTACAGATCAATTCAGACCGTATCTGCCACCACGTGTCTTTATAAATATCAACGTTCGTCCTACGGAGTCCCATCACAATGTAGAAACACAAACAAACAGACAATATTGTTACTAAAGAATGTTTTTTTTTGCCCGTATTGAAACGGCTGTACCCCGTATGGTCGTGAAAACTCAATGTCTCTGTAGAAGAATACGGGGTAAACCGTACGGGTTATGACAGCTGTGATGCATCAAAAGATAACTTGACCCGTGGTTGTGTTACCTCGTTTAACCAAAGGCTTCAAACTCGCGTGGAACAGCCCAAAACCCAAAGACGGGTATATCACGAGAGAAAAAACCCCTACATATTTACCAATAACACTGCCCTTAAAAGTAAATACGGTAGTAAATAATCGGGCAATGGCCCTTTTTCATAACGCCTCTGTGACTGACGATTGTATTTCAGCCTTTCTTCTTACGACTGCTGCCTGTGTATCTTACTGTGAAAACAGTTCCACAAGGCATGTATAAATGTTTATTTTCTTTGTGACAGACTAGGCCCGAGACGCCAGGGAGGGCCTGAATGGCCTGGATTGCCTACCGAGAAGGAGACGCCTTCCCCGGCGGGGAGCAACCACAGCCTGCGGTGTCACCGCCGCAAAGGGGGTCACACAACACCGGATTTTTTTTTGTGGTCAAAATTTTAAAACCAAAACACCCACTTACCGGTTCGCGTGAGTTCAATCCTGCTCACGAGTTTTAAGGGGCGAGAGGAATTGTTCGTGCAAGTTTAGAGTTTAGGGTGGGGGGGTGGGGAGTCGTTATGTTCCGAACAGTTTAGAAGCGTCCTGGGAGCCGCGCTTGAGGCGTCAGCCATTGGCACTTGGGAGCTACCACTCCCAGCGAAGGGTTGACGCTCAAACTATCAATCTTATACTTTGACTTCCATCACATAATTTGAATCGTATTTACTCAAACAATATATGCTGAATGATCTACTGTGATAGTCACGGTCGCTCCGTCATTGTATTGCTGTTGTAGATGTATATATTTATATATTTTAAAAAATATTACCGCGTCTGCGACCCCCCCCCCTATTTAAAGCGGTAAGTTGGTTCGTTCCAAATGATGACGTTCACACAACGGGATCAAAGTTCGGAACGCTCTTGCAGAATTGTACAAACATTTAACTCCGAAAGTTATCGCGATATGGCGACACTACGATATTACCTAATCATATCCAACATAAGCGTATCGTACAATTTGTTTCCACACGGCACGTGCACACTCAAAGCACTTGCAATTCAAATTTCTATTTAAAGCTTTCGTGACTGCAGGGATTCATCTTCTTGGTTATTTCGGTAAAGTCACCACGTAGAATGGAAACAATAAAATAATAAAGAAAAATATTTTGATCCCCTGCTGATTTTGTACGTTTGCCCACTGACAAAGAAATGATCAGTCTATAATTTTAATGGTAGATTTATTTGAACAGTGAGAGACAGAATAACAACAAAATCCAGAGAAACGCATGTCAAAAATGTTGTAAATTGATTTGCATTTTAATTAGTGAAATGAGTATTTGACCCATCAGAAAGATTTCTGGCTCCCAGGTGTCTATGTGTACACTGTGTGTGTACACTATTTGTATACACTGTGTGTGTACACTGTGTGTGTACACTGTATACAGTGTGTGTGTGTACACTGTGTGTATACACTGTGTGTGTACACTGTGTGTGTATACACTGTGTGTGTGTGTCACTGTGTGTACACTGTGTGTCACTGTGTCACTGTGTGTGTGTGTACACTGTGTGTGTGTACACTGTGTGTATGTACACTGTGTATACCCTGTGTGTACACTGTGTGTGTGTACACTGTGTACACTGTGTGTGTACACTGTGTGTGTATACACTGTGTGTGTACCCTATGTGTGTACGCTGTGTGTGTGTACACTGTGTATACACTGTGTGTGTGTACACTGCGTATGTGTACACTGTGTGTATAAATTGTGTGTGTACACTATGTGTGTGTACACTGTGTGTGTGTACACTGTGTGTGTACATTGTGTATATTGTGTATACACTGTGTGTACACTGTGTGTACACTATGTGTATACACTGTGTGTGTACACTGCGTGTGTACGCTGTGTGTGTGTACACTATGTGTATACACTGTGTGTGTACACTGCGTATGTGTACACTGTGTGTATAAATTGTGTGTGTACACTGTGTGTGTACACTGTGTACAGACACTGTGTGTGTACACTGTGTGTGTGTACACTATGTGTATACACTGTGTGTGTGTACACTGCGTATGTGTACAGTGTGTGTACACTGTGTGTACACTGTGTGTGTACACTGCGTATGTGTACACTGTGTGTGTACAGTGTGTGTACACTGTGTGTGTGTACATTGTGTGTGTACATTGTGTGTGTACACTGTGTGTGTGTATACTGTGTGTGTACACTGTATACACTGTGTGTGTACACTGTGTATACCCTGTGTGTCACTGTGTGTACACTGTGTGTGTGTATATATACAGTGTGTACCCTGTGTGTGTACACTGTATGTACACCGTGTGTACACTGTGTGTGTACACTGTGTATACCCTGTGTGTGTGTACACTGTGTGTGTACACTGTGTATACACTGTGTATGTGTACACTGTGTGTGTACACTGTGTGTGTACATTGTGTGTGTACACTGTGTGTGTACACTGTGTGTATACACTGTGTGTGCACACTGTGTATGTACACTGTGTGTGTGTACACTGTGTGTGTACACTATTTGTATACACTGTGTGTGTGTACACTGTGTGTGTAAACTGTGTGTTTGTACACTGTGTGTGTGTATACACTGTTTGTGTTCGCATTGAACCGAACCCCCGGCAAGGCCGTCTACTTAATGACGAGAGAAAATTCACACGAAATGTCCTTTTCAATGAAGTCTTCCAGATGTAAATTGATACAAGCTTTTAATGAAGAAATAGAAATCATCTAATTCAAAACACAACACAATTCAAAGATGTTTCATTTTAAAACTTCAAAACGGAGCATGGCGTACTTGCGTGAATGGGTCCTTCGTGTGTAAATGTTGTGACTTTCCTGGCCTGAAGGCCGTCAATGTGTTGGACCCTTATTGGTGCACAGCGTCTCAACAACAGCAGTGGGGTTTGCTTCAACCGATGGATACGAACATCCAGACGTGAATCAGCAAGGAGCATTTCTAGTCCTAGTTAGACAAAATCTACGTCAACACGTAAGACAAAACTACAATTCGTGTTGTAGAGAATGTACCTCCTCCGCTACATGTAACTTTTAAGTGGTATGCCTTGTAACTGATGAATGATCCGAGCGTGCTACCTATTTCAAAGACGATGAGTTGCTCCAGAGGCAGACGCTTCGTGGAACACAAAAACACCATTTGACCTGTATCACAAGAACAACGGGTCCCACCTGAGTTCTCTGTACAAGTTACTTCCAAAACACACACACACACTTTGTCCTAACATCACTTATTCAATGTTTGACCCTTACAGATCAAATGTTACAAGTATGCACAAAATCAAACAAGTATTCATTCTAAATTATTGACAGGCATATTAACAAAATTGGATTACTTCAGTGAAATATACTGCATCACGTTACATCGTATTAACAAGAAGCTTTTAAAAAAAGTTGCAGTCTGCTTCACAGTGTATGTAAAACATACTATTGTGTCATTCAAAACGAGTAGGCCATTGCATGCTGGCGTCTGAGTGAAAATGTAGCAAATTCTAAGCATTACCTACAAACTACACAACTGAGATGACGCATCAATCATCGCCCCCTACTGACAGGCTCTTGTCCACATGCAGGCCGGTGCAGGGCCACCACCTTGTGCCACACAGGGGCAGCTGCTACTTGGGGATGTTCTTCGAGTGTTTGAGATGAGATACAAAACTCCGAGTTGCTGAGGCGATTAAGCAAGCACCATGTAAAAGCAATTATTATAACATAGTGAATGCTTGGGAGCTTATTGGCTCTTGCTCCTGGTTAGAGATCTACCCAACCCACGGGCCCACAAAGTGTTCAACTTCACATTCCTGTCATTAAAGGCCTGTGACAAAGGTGCATCTATTGGAGCAACATCATATCAAGCTTACACATCTGCCGAGTCTCCACTTGACTTTGTATTGTCTAGGAGCAAGTCCACCCACACCTCCACTTCCGCAAACTGCTGGGAGTTGCCTCGCTCTGCCTCAGTCAGAATTCTCCTCCTGCTTTACAATGTGAAGGTCCCATTTTGGAGTTGAACCTTCATCTTCACATTTTACCATCACTTCTTCGCTCATCACTTCTTCACATTTCACCATCACCTCTTCACATTTCACCATCACCTCTTTATATTTCACCTCGATACCTTTAAAAGTGTCCAAGCTGGGATTTTCTTCCGGTTCATGTTTCATGAGGGATGGGCTTATTGTGGCACTTTGACTTTCACAAGCTGATTTCAGACTACACTCCTTGTGGATCTTCTGATGCTGTGTTCTCTGGTGTACTTGAAGAGTTGATGAACGTGCAAATGCCTTCCCGCACACACTGCACTTGAAGGGTTTCTCTCCTGTGTGTGTTCTCTGGTGTACTTCAAGATTTGATGAACGTGCAAACGCCTTCCCGCACAGAGTGCACCTGAAAGGTTTCTCTCCCGTGTGTGTTCTCTGGTGTGTTTTAAGAGTAGATGACCATGAAAACGCCTTCCCACAAACACTGCACTTGAAGGGTTTCTCTCCCGTGTGTGTTCTCTGGTGTATTACGAGATTATATGACTGTGTAAACGCCATCCCGCACATTGTGCACCTGAAGGGTTTCTCTCCCGTGTGTGTTCTCTGGTGTTTTACAAGCGCAGATGAATGTGCAAATGCCTTCACGCACACACTGCACTTGAAGGGTTTCTTTCCCGTGTGTGTTCTCTGGTGTGTTACAGATGACATGAATTGAAAACGCCTTGCCGCACAGAGTACACTTGAAGGGTTTCTCTCCTGTGTGTGTTCTCTGGTGTTTTTTAAGAGCAGATGACCATGAAAATGCCTTCCCACACACACTGCACTTGAAGGGTTTCTCTCCCGTGTGTTCTCTGGTGTATTACGAGATTATATGACTGTGTAAACGCCATCCCGCACATTGTGCACCTGAAGGGTTTCTCTCCCGTGTGTGTTCTCTGGTGTTTTACAAGCGCAGATGAATGTGCAAATGCCTTCACGCACACACTGCACTTGAAGGGTTTCTTTCCCGTGTGTGTTCTCTGGTGTGTTACAAGATGACATGAATTTGAAAACGCCTTGCCGCACAGAGTACACTTGAAGGGTTTCTCTCCTGTGTGTGTTCTCTGGTGTTTTTTAAGAGCAGATGACCATGAAAATGCCTTCCCACACACACTGCACTTGAAGGGTTTCTCTCCCGTGTGTGTTCTCTGGTGTGTTACAAGATTACATGACTGTGTAAACGCCATCCCGCACATCGTGCACCTGAAGGGTTTCTCTCCCGTGTGTGTTCTCTGGTGGTTCTGAAAAACTGATGGCCATGCAAATGCCTTGTTACACACAGTACATTTGAAGGGTTTCTCTCCTGTGTGACTTCTCTCGTGCCGTGTCAGATTTCCAGTCCGGTCCGTGCTGTATGCACGCTGGTCGCATTGTTGACTTGTCGTACCGAGCTGCGCTGAGTGGCTTTGCTCCATCAGACCAATTCTGCAGAGGAAGCGTCAGCTGCAGACATAAAAAAAAAGAATATCCACACCATCTACACGTCAGTATCGATGCACAGAGGAAAGCATATATACACAGTAACACGTGACTTACACGTCTATACTTAGTCATATATTCATGATATAGTGGAAAAGTGTCCCAACTTCATCACACGGGCTGTAATGGCACACAATGAGAGGGCAAATGGTTATAAACATGTCTGGAAGCCCTCGTATCTTCAAAATGAATGTTCACCCAAAACTCCGAGCACACAATTTCAGCTGTCTGGCTTCAAAAGGAATATTTATGAGAGCTAAATTCAGCTGACATAGCAAAGGGTGTTTAAAATAATACTATTTGTGTTATGCAGAAATGCATAAATTAACGTTCAATCGCAACTTAGAGGTGTGAATCCAGGCTCAGATGTCCTTAAATGCTGGGATGAACAGTTCCGACTTCAGCTGAATGTGTGTGCTGTGTTAACTTCCTGTTTCCTTTCTTACAAAGAGTTCCAGAGGAAAACAAAAATAAACTATTGTTACGCTATAACCTCCGTGTTCAACAGAGTTAATAGACGTTACTGCAAACACAAACTGTACACTGTCACTGGGTAATCAGGCGGTGGCGTGTCTAGAATCATGCCTGGCCACCTTCATCTGCTTGGCATGAATGCTTCCTAACTCCACCAAGTAATTAATTGAGGATAAGCGAACACAGCCGAGGCTAACTGGAGTTTGCGTGTCTCTCTCCGTGGTGAGATGTTAACTACCTCACCTGGTATACAGGAAGTCGTGGGTTCGATCCCGACCCTGACGCCTGCTGTATATTTGGAGTTTGCGCGTCACTCCGTTTAGCGTCTTTGACCGATAGACATTGACACACGTATTCTTGTTTCTTTCGGTAAAGTTACGTAGATAGAAAATAACAATAACAGATAATACAATTACATTAAATAAAGACTACTTGTTTTGCGATCAAAACGACGTGAGTTGCTTTTCTTTATTTGGAATTATTCATTTATTTTATTGTTATATTTCATTTTCTATCTACGTGACTTTACCGAAAGAACCAACAATATTAATTCCTGCAGTCACCAAAGTTTTAAGTCAAAACATTCACACACGTTGACAAAGCCTCACCTTGTGTTGTTGTGGGCAGGTCGCTTCTGATAACAAGAGCGGTATAGCAGCTCAAGCGGGCTTGGCCTGGTGAAAAAAATAAAAACTGCATGAATATTTACAATAAAACAAAGTTACAAAGTGGCGAGCCGGGTGAAGACAAATTAAACTTAAGAGAGATAATTAAAGTAAACGCAATCAGGCGAGGGCAAGAGGCAAGGCCCCGCGTGGCTAGGCCCCGCGTTGTAAAGTTCCAACCTGGACATCGATTCCCATGCTCGCTGCTACTCAACTGACATCCCTACGAGAGAGAGCGAGGCTCTACCTTGGTAAACAACAACAACCACCACCACCACAACAACCACAATCGCAATGAGAATTTCTCACCTCGGATTTCAGTGCAGGAAGCGATAGCTTCCTGTTACCTCGTGACGTCACGCGGCAGCAGGTGACATGACGTCACTTCCGGGGAACGGGACACGCTCCTCCCACAATGAGCTTCTCCGTAAATAAATAAATTAGAGTTTGAATAAATTATGTTAATGTTCATTTCGATATTAGTTCATTTTAGTTCATTTGTTCATTTATTTGGTATAGCCCTGTGAGCCATTCGGCTCTTGAATCGGGTGCAACCGCAACAAACAAAAAACATGAACAAGAAAACATCTTAAAATGATTATGTGACTGTGCAAACAGAAAATACAGGAAAAAAATATCAAAATATTCCTGAAATAGCACCGTACACCAACTCTGTGTGCAAAAATCCCAGTGGGATGCAAGTCAAATAACAACAACAACCACAATAGAATCAGAATCAGAAAGGGTTTTATGCGCCATGAAAGTTCACACCGACACGGAATTTACTTTGGCAGGATGGTGCATACATTCAACATATAGGAATCTAAAATCTTAAATAAGTTTTAAACAAGTCTTACTATAATAATAAGGGTTAAAAGTCTAACACCAAGGGGCTGAAGTATATAAAATTTAATAAATATCGAATATAAAATAGCTTTAAGATATAATTTAAAAATAAAAAATACAAATAGGTTAACATAGTTAATATCGGCAAGGTGTCATTATGTAGATAACTAAGATTAAGGCCATCAGTCTAACTCCGTACTACAATAAACATTAACATGGCCTAAACCAAAAAAACTTTTCGAAATCACCAAAATAAAAGCCATAAATGCAATGTAACAGTGATCATAGGGAGTGTGACCGAATTTTTTTTACAATAAACTACATAAATAAATTATAACACCAAAATCTAGAGCCATATTTTAGGCCACTGAATAGCAGTGGCCGCTAGGGGTGTACAACTCCTCTAGAGCAGTTTTGAGTGAAGATCTCATAGGTACTGATTCAAGTTGCAGTTTATTGGCAATAGCATTCCAGACCCTGGGGTCATGAATAGCAAAGGCCCTTCCTCCAGTTTTTGTACGGCAATAGGGAATGTGAAGCTGGTAAATGAGCGAAGACCTGAGGTCAAATTTGTTATTTGAAACAGAGAGGAGATCCAGTAGGTAGTCTGCGGAATTTTTTGTAAGTATATCGTGAATAAATAAGATCTGGTGCACAAGCCGTCAAACATTAAGAGATGTTAAGTTTGACCCAATGTAGAGATCACAGTGGTGAGTCTATGGGGCAGTGTTGAGTCTATGGGCAGTGTTGAGTCTATGGGCAGTGTTGAGTCTATGGGCAGTGTTGAGTCTACGGGCAGTGTTGAGTCTATGGTGCAGTGTTGAGTATATGGGCAATGTTGAGTCTACGGGCAGTGTTGAGTCTGTGGGCAGTGTTGAGTCTACAGGCAGTGTTGAGTCTATGGGCAGTGCTGAGTCTATTATGGTGCAGTGTTGAGTCTATGGTGCAGTGTTGAGTCTATGGGCAGTGTTGAGTCTATGGGCAGTGTTGAGTCTATTGGCAGTGCTGAGTCTATGGGCAGTGTTGAGTCTATGGGCAGTGCTGAGTCTGTGGGCAGTGTTTATCAATTCTACAGAATCTGAGCCTCGCTCGCACTGCGTGTTCGCCTATCCGCACTACGGTTTATAAAAACGCCCTGCTAAGGCCTCACGTGATAACAGCCCAGCCGAGTCGCCTGCCCGTGATTCGAGGCACGGAACGTCGAATCTCCTCCTACACCACGACCACACGAGGACATTGTTTTGTTTGTAACCTCACCACGAAGGAGAATATAGCTCAAGACCCCCTCCCCAGACACCTACGCAGCGTTGCGCTGGTGAGTGCCGTGTTGAGGCCTATTCCGGGAGTGTCACCGGTCTCGGATAGATTGCCCAGCCGGCCGAGGCGGCACTTTGGCCGGCTACAGATGCCGCTGTCATGCGATGGTCTCCATAGAGACCTGGAAGATGGTCTCTAGGTTATGTTGTGGGTTAGCAAGCTTCCAAAGGATGCCTGAAGGCTGCCGCTAGGCTTTTGTAACGAATCTTTGCTGCGTGTTTTAAACTTGAATTATTTGCAATGCACGCGTGTCAATGTGCTCTAGAGGAGTTGTACAACCCTAGCTGCCACTGCTATTCAGTGGCCTAAATTATGGCTCTAGATTTTGGTGTTATAATTTATGTAGTTTATTGTTAAAAATTCGGTCACAGTCCCTATGATCACTGTTACATTGGATTTATGGCTTTTATTTTGGTGATTTCGAAAAAAAATTGTTTTGGCCATGTTTTTGTTTATTGTAGTACGGAGTTAGACTGATGGCTTTAATCTTAGTTGTCTTGTGGTCGTTGTTGTTATTTGACTTGCATCCCACTGGGATTTTTGCACACAGCGTTGGTGTACGGTGCTATTTCAGGAATATTTTGATATTTTTTTCCTGTATTTTCTGTTTGCGCAGTCAACACAAAGTCACTTTAAGATGTTTTCTTGTTCATGTTTTTTGTTTGTTGCGGTTGCACCCGATTCAAGAGCCGAATGGCTCACAGGGCTATACCAAATAAATGAACTATGAACTATGCGTCGCTCAAAGACTTCACTCGAGCGCGTCGTGTTCAAGCTCGCTTTGTCTACCTTAGGAGCTTACAAAGTGCCGCCCAATAATTTACCGTGCGTCTGCCTCTTAGACCGAGTGAATCGCTTGAACAAGTGCACATTCAGAAGCGTAAACTCTGCGAGTATCTCGTTTTGAATTTTGATGTGAAGCTTTCGTGACTGCAGTAATTCATATTCTTCGCTCTTTCGGTAAAGTCACCACGTTGAAGGGGAACAATAAAATAATAAAATGTATATAAAACAATAAAAATTATTACGACGTTTCGACCTGATGACGACCGTTTGTGTTATGGTCGAAACGTCGTGAGAATTTTTATTGTTTTATATATATTTTATTATTTTATTGTTTCCCTTCAACGTGACTTTACCGAAAGAACTAAGAATATCTCGTTTTATTCATAGTCCGTGTTTCCAAGGATAAAACCAATTGCACATTCTCATTACCAACACATCGACCTGGCTGGTGGTCACAGTTGCCAGGAGCCCCTTTCCCTGTCGGCTTGACATTGTTTTCAACTCAATTGTTTTTTTACACAGCTCTTGGACAGATGTGCGGCAGT